AAAGCGTATTCCAACTTTTGGTTCGCGTCCCTCAACACCTTCAGCCGTTCCAGATTCCTCACGCGCTTGAAAAACTTCGCGTTTCGATCCCTGAGCTCGAGAATCTGGTCCACGAACGCGTACAACCGGTCCAAATGCTCGAAAGCGTCTTCCGCGTAAACGCTTGAAATAGCCATCGCGGACACGGCAGAATTTCTCGAGGGGCACCCCGACGGGGTCCGCCCCTCGAACGGCGGCAGCGAGCCGAGATCGTCCGTCAAGTAGGCGATCATGTCCTCGTCCTCGTCCAGGCTCCGGCTGTTCCTCCCCGCCTCCACCTGCTGGTCGCGGGAATTGTTGTGCAGGCTGGGCCAGAGATTGGCCCACGGATCCGGCGGTGGCGCCGGCAACTCGCCCTCGCACTCCACTTTGCGTGGCCTCGTCGTGGGCCTCGGTTGCGCCCTTTGTTCGCTGTTGTTGCGGCCGCACGATCCCCGATTCCCGTTCCTCTCATGCCCAAACGCTTGATCGCCAAATTTCTCATTCTCAGCCATCTGGTTCTACGCGTTTGCATATATGTATATGGGTGATTTATATTTACTTTTTTTTCTCGCTCGATTGTGTTATCGATGCTCTAAATATATCGGGGTTGAGTTTAATTTTAGAGTACATTCTTCTTTTCCTTTCGCGGATTTAGATACGAGTTTAGCCACCCTCCGCGCCAAAATTTAATATATTCGCGTGTAAACATGTGATTCAGTGTTTCCCAACACTGTTTTCTCCGAGGATGGAATTTTACGATATTTTTTCACGAGGTGAATTCCACTGAGAATATTCGTAAATAAGGATATTTTTCGTAGAGAATTGGGAAACGTTGAGATGTAATAATACTGTGTAACGAGGTTTGTTCTATTTTATATTTATTTTTAAATCAAACGCGCATCGTCGTAGAAACGATATCAAATACACCTCTCTCCCTGTTATATTTTATTTTTAAATTTTTGACACATCACTAAATCATCGTAAAGATCACCATATAACTTTCGTACAACGAGTTACACAAAATACTATTATTCTACATTTACAACACGTAGAACCGAACTTGAACTCACTGTACTTGCTCAAAAAGTCGAGGGATCGTGAACCATTTTTCCTACATTTTCCACTCTCTTTCGCATATCGATAGAAACATGCTCGACAGATCCTTCATTGATCTAAACACGCGCGCACAGGATCGATATTTTACCATTACATCGAATTTTATTGTTTCGTGGGAGGATGGGATACGATGGAATTAACTCTCTAAGCGCGAATATCTCGAAGGTTCACGTTGGGAATGCATTTTTTGGCGGTGTCGGGAGGGCCGCGGAAGAAGTAGCGGTCCGAAATCGCAGCAACGTCCTCGCGTGATTATTTTCGGTAGCGAGCATTCGGCATTCGGTATTTACAACGAATACAACGACACACGGCCAGGCTTCGAACACCGACGCTCGAAGGGGCATGCGCGTGGCGCACGATAACCGTGGAAAAGAGACGGCTCTTCCTGTTCTCGTCGAAAATAGACGGTGGAAACACTATGGCGCGCGTATCCTCTCGAATGGCCGCCCACGTTCGTATTTATACGCGTCTGCATACTCTCTCTGTAGTGCGGTGTGTTTCTCGAGGCAACCCCTTTTTTATAATAGGCAAACAAATTATAGAGAATACTTTTTCGCCGCAGTGAAATTTTTGTTTGTTAATAAATTTTATTCAGCGAACGATATTCGAACGATATTTTTTTTTCCTTTTTTTTTTTTTTTTTAGTAGTGCTTGATTATCCGATTATTATGAATTTTTCATTGGAGCATCATTCTAAAGGATTAATCGAATTGAGATGTATTAGGTTTTTGTTTCTTTGTATTTTTATAGGAAGTATACGTTATTATGAAATTAATTATGAAGTAGAATGACATTGAAGTGACCTCAAGGGACTTTGTTCGTGAGCTGAATTTGTTTTAATTAATTTTCCATTACATTTTCGAGTAATTGTTGTATTATCGAGTATTATTGGATTAAATTATATAATGTTGATGGCAAATCAATGTCTCTTCGTTGTATTTTATCTTTAATAGGTTGTTTCTAATGTAAGTTTTGTAAGTTTGTATCATTAATTCAAAAATGATTGACGAGATGACAAACAAAATTGCAGTTTCTAATGAAATGGGGTCGCCATTAATGGAAATTAGATAAAATGAGTTAAGCTCACAAAGAAAATGAAGAGTCATTTGATTGATATTGTAGTATCTCATTCAAGTAATATGAATATAAATGTGAACTTGAGAAAAGAAACTTGAAATATTATTTATATTTTATCTCAATTTATGCGATATTTAATTTGAATGTATAATTAAATGCCTGATATATAAATTAAAAATATCAATATATAAAAATTATTAGGTAATTATTATCTTTGTAAAAGTAGTTTTTAATTCATCTCGTGAAATTCTTTCATATATGTATATTTAATTAAAAAAAATATATAGTTGGTGGGAAAAGTTATATAAAATCCTGTTATATAAAGAATCTGATTATACTTGACGTGTGACACTAAACAAAATTTCTTCTTCATTCGTGATTACATAAAGACAAATTAAAAATTATAATAGGATACATTTATAGATTTATTTTTACGAATGAATTCTTAAGTTAAAATATCAATACGCAAAAATTTTTAATTTTTTTTTCAATATAAAAAAATAATAAATGATTAAATAAAAATAACAATTTTCCAAAAATTTTTTGCAATAGCATCAGTTGAGAAACACACTTTTCTCATATCATGTGATATAATATAATACACGAAATCATTCGACTTATTTTCATTACGTGAAGAACTATTAATAAATTGATAAAACTGTTGACATTCAAATATCGATAATAATCTTTTCTAGATACTCGAAACTTCGAAATTTCGAAACTTTTCAGAATCGAGTCTTTTTTATAGACTCGAAATAAATTTTATCTATATTTTTTTTTTCTCTCTTCTTTAATGTCATAAATACTTCGAGATGAAAAAATTTTTTTCAAAACTTTTACGATTTTTTTTAATCTCGCACATCATTTTCGATATTTACAAAAGATACTAACGCATGGAATACTAATTTCGTATTAAATTATCTGACGAAGCAATAAATGGAACGAGTTATTTCAGTAATGGAATACTTGATAAATATTCGAAAAACCGAACTTTGAAATAGTAGATTTCTATTATGATTTCATTCTTCGCTGGTATATAGCATTAGAATATTGTGTAACCTTTGTGTATAGATTACAGACATATTTAACACGCGCGCAATCACGTTAAATCATTTTCTTAAAATATCAGAAATAATTTTCAAAGAATTCCACAGTAAATAAATTTCACAGCGATCGTGTTATAATCGGATATTGTTTGTCAAATATATTCTTAATTAAATCTTATTTTGTTAATTAATAATAATTATAACGTGCAAAAAGAAAAAAGGGTTTTTTCGTAAAATGCATTTTTTGTATAAAAAAAAAATTTTTATTCTCTCCATAGCAGATTTGTAATACATTATGCTCACAATCATGATGCAATAAAAGTAATAATAATCCATAATTTATCAAGATTATATAAGACCATAGAAGAATGTTAACGAGTTATTCTTGCATCGGTAACCGGGTTAGATCAGTCATTCGTGATCCTGCAACGGCAGCGCCTGGAATCATTTAGGTTCGTTAAAATTTTCCCAAGAAAACCTTTTCTTTTTTTTTTTATTTCTAAAAAAAAAAAAAAGAAAAAGTTAGAGAAAAGTAGAAAATTTTCTTTCATTTACTCATTAAAATTCCCAACATAACGATGATGCTAGAAGCGCACTGTACATTTAGAAATAATTTACTAAAACTACCGACCAAGTATGGAAATATTCTAGATAAACCGATGATCGTACCCCTGAAACGAAGCCGAAATGATTTAACAAAAATTTCACACGTGCGAGAGAGATAGATATACCCATCCATTTTTCACAAACTGTTTCATAATTAACCTTACGCCAGTAAAATAATTTTCCAGTAAGATTATCGACGCTGTTGTACGACCAATTACGTAAGTTGCTAATATAATCAGTAAAAGAACGAGTTGTATTACGTTATGAACTGTAAACAATAAGCCCAGGCATGCTGTTGCTCCCACTACACCCGAAAACACTGAAAAAAAATAAAGTTAATTTTAAAGTTGTTTAAAGCAACGAACGAATAAGAAAGAAGTTGATTTTATAATATATATATATATTCATACGATATTTGTGAACATTGAAAATTAAGTATTATAAGACGATAATACGTTTACCTAGAAATATTTTTCTACCCACAACATCGATTCCAATTACCAATAAAATTTCTGCTACTAAATAGCTCAATGATAAATACAAAAGCATTCGAAAACGATCCATGTCCACCTCTTGACAATTACGCAAAAACCCTAACGCCATGTCTTCTATATCAATGACGCATGCGTAATCCTTCTTTGACGATTTGTGAAAATTCTCGGTTTGCTGTAGGATTTGTGCACTCCAGAGAGCAACCCACATAATCCTAATTGTTATAATTACTAATCGTTAAACTGAAATTGATTTTATAAAAGAATCTCGAAAAAAAAAAGATATTGGTATGGAAAATGTGTGGAAATTAATGTAAACACTATAAGAAAAATATAAATAATATTTTACCCCGGAAATTGCAGAAAATTAGTACAAATTCCTAATATTGTAGTATATTTAAATGATTTACATATTTCTCGAATACGTTTATATGTTTTAATACAAAATTTATGTATCGTTCTGATCATATTATTCGTTTCCTCGTCTTCCTCTTCAATTTGTTTAACACAGTTTTCCAAATTGCTTAGCTAGAATAAGAAAAAAATATCGTTATGTATTACATTAAATATTTAATCATTTAATTTATAAACACGGATATGCATTTATGCAAAATTTAGAATATAGGATATTAATGTTTATAAAAATTTGATTTTGCATAAAAATCCGCGATGATAGTTGTGAGATTAATAGAAAATGAACTGTACTGAAAGTACGAAAGTATCGACGTGTTTCGAATTATTAATTGCATAAATTTGTCGTAATATCGATAATGCTTCCTCATGCCGTCGCCGATAAAGCAAATATCTTGGACTTGCCGGCAGCAAACTAGTCGCACACGCTATAATCAAATTTGGTATACCTCCTAATCCTGTAAGGACTCGCCAAGAATTTGGTCGAAATTTTTTATTTTGGAATAATAAGATCGAAGGCATTAGCAGCCATGACATTCCTGCGAATTTTAATGTTTTAATTTTATCCTTTATACTTCTCTCTATAATGTAATAATAAATACAAGTTTGATACGTATTTATAAACACTAGCCTAAAATAGATATGTAACTAAGGATTCCTAATACATCCAAAATAACTAAACAAAAGCCTCTTCGTTTCATGGGCAGTAATTCGATTAGATATACTCTTAAAACCACATTATTACCAGCTAATCTGAAATAAACGAATGCTTTTTATGCTCTTACGTATATGTTAAATGTGTTGTGCATAGGAAAGATAGGTGATAATATTTTTTTAATTATCGAACAATTTTAGAGACTTATTATTATTATTATTTAAATCATAATTATTAAGCAATATATTTTATAATTTCATAAAAATTTACGTGATTAGATAAACTTACCCTAATCCAAGTATAAATGTTGAAATGTATATCAGAAATGTAGTTTGCGCAAAGGATAAACTGATAGTAGCGCAAAATACAACGATCATAGTAATAGGAATGGAACTCTTACGTCCACTTGCATCGATTATTATTCCGAATAGAAATCCTCCTACAGCCATTCCTATACACAATCTTATTATTCGTAAAATATACTGTAAATCATTTCAAATATATATATATATTAATTTATCATAAACATATTAGAAAGCTTAGAAATAACGGAACTGTATTTGTCATTGAATTGAAATCTCACGACCCTGAGTGATTCATACTAGTGGCAATGACTAGTGAAATTTAATGAGGAATAATTTCCGGATAAGAAATCGAATTATATATTCCTCAGTTATAAAATGAATAATGATGAATCATTTTATTGCGTATCAGTGAAATATTCTCCTATTTTTTCAATGAATTGAAAATTTGAATTACATCTTCATTATTCGAATTTTTGTAATAATAGAGAATCTAATGAGTGAATCACTGTTGCATGAGCAATGAAAAAAAAAATAATTAAATAAATTTGTATATAAATATAGTTTGAAATATTATTAAGTTATTTTTATGAATCTTATAATAGTTCACTTATAATTATTATTTCATAAAGATCTAATCAGAAGTATCAAGTGTAAAAAAAATTCCATGTCTCTAGTTTTATCATTTAGAACAACACTTTAAATTGAATTATCATAGAATTGATATTTAATTTTTTTGAAATGATTTGATGATTAGAATGGCGTATTCAATCTCACGTTCTTATTAATTATTAGTTTTATAAATAATTTTTTATTGTCAATTAATAATTTCATCAGTTTGTCATATATTGTTAAAAAATATCTACGTACATACATTCTATATGTACCTAATGTTAACGTAGCGTGCACAGTAGTTGCTTGACTTGCACTTAGACTTAAATCACATGCCATGAATGGAACTACAATTAGAATAGTTGGAAGAACGCAAGCTTCTGCAATTGCACACATGCCACATAATCCAATAATAAAACAGTGAAAGAGACCACATCCTGTAATTGAATTATATTAAATAATATTATTCCCGTCATATATTGAACTGTATATAGTTTCTTAATCTTTTTTACGATTATAGGGACACATTTTAAAAATAGGTTTCTATGACATTATAATTATTAGAATATTAAATTATCGTTTGAAAGATTATAATAATACTTTAACATTTAAAACTAAAATGAAAAAGTCAAATTTTAAATTATAATTGTAAATATTATATCATAACAACAAATATTATTCAATAAATATTAATATTTTAAATTTATTGTCTCCCTTTTTTAGAAATTTACTATTTTAATATTAAAATATTTTATGAATTTCTTAACCTGTTTTAGCAATGACATTTTCACAATTATTAGACATTATATATTTTATAATTTAATGATAAATATTGATTTATATAAGTCCATTTGTTATATTGAGAAGCCATAAAGATGTATATACATTATTTTATCCGTAATTAATGTCAATTCAATAATTTCCAATCTCATACTTTCAAAATTAAATTGCTAACAAAAACCATTCAATAGTTAATAATGACAATCTTCATTTTAAATATGTATGATTGTATATATATTTACAATCATTAAACAAAAATAAAACTAGATAATGAAATATATTATTTAAATGAGTGATTAATGGATAGAAAAATACACAATGTATGAAAGATACTTATTTATTATAAGAAATGAAAATAGTTGATATTGAAAATATAATTAATGTTATGATTTTAAATTATATACCATGTTTATTACAAAACAAGTTTTTGATTGATTTTAAAAAATGTAATATTTTACATAAATGACAGTTTTAATAAAGTATAGAAATTTCTTTTTTTCTTTTTTTCATTTATGTATCTTTAAAATATTCTTTAGAACCAACTACATCAGGTTTCATAGTTTTCTTTCCTGGTTTCCAGCCTGCTGGACATACTTCTCCATGTTTATCAGTATATTGGAATGCTTGGACTAAACGCAAAGTCTCATCAACAGATCTATAAATATATGAATTTATTAAGATAAAACATCATATATTAGATATGTAAAAATATTAGTTTATGTGAATTTTACCTGCCAACTGGTAAGTCATTGATAGTAACTTGACGTAAATTTTGTTTATCATCTATGATGAAGAGACCACGAAATGGAATTCCACTTTCTTCATCAAGTACGCCATAATCACGTGCGATCTTGGAACTTTTATCAGCAAGAAGAGGAATGTTCATTTCACCAAGACCACCTTGCTTACGTGGTGTATTTACCCATGCTAAATGACTGAAGTGAGAATCAGTAGATGCTGCAATGACTTTACAACCAATTTGTTCAAATTCATCAGCACGATCAGAAAAGGCAATGATTTCAGTGGGACAAACAAATGTACTGCAAAATAAATTATCATTTTTTGACATATGATACATAATTAAAAAATTACATCATCAATACATACAAAATCATGAATTAAAATACTTACAAGTCTAATGGATAGAAAAATAAAACAAGATATTTTCCACTATAATCAGAAAGAGAAATATCTTTAAATTCTCCATTCACAACTGCAGTACCTTTAAAATTAGGTGCAGGTTTTTGAAGTGCTGGAACCGGCATTATTAAGGTTTTATGTTTCTGTAATAACAAACAAAATTTTCACAAATTTTTAATATAAATTTTCAATATAATTTGAAAATAATTTTTATTTTCCATTATAAAAAAAATTTATATAGACATCCATTTTAAATTATAGTTATAGGTTATCAATATTTTATTAAAATTATTATAGATATTAAAATGTTATTTACAGATACTATATAATAATATTAATATTATTACTTATTATTAATGTAAAAACATTATATATTGTGCTTGATTAATGTATACAATATATAAGATTTTCTACTCAATTGAGCATAGTTACATATTTCTAAAAAAGATAGAAAAAAAGATAGAAAAAAATTTTACAGGACAAAATTAAATTTATATTCCTGTATTATATTTATATAATTTTATATATTTTTGTATTTGGAAAATGCAATTATTATATTTTTTTAAAAAATAAAATATATAATTTCTTTTGAAAAATTTTTCACATAATAGTATTTTTATATAATAGTATAATAGAATTAGATTATAAATTAAATAATTTACAAAATTTTAATTTTTTTAAAATAAAATACAAACATGTCTTTAATTAGTCTTTATCTTTTATATTTATTCTTTTAAATAATTTCATTATTATATTCATTCTTTGAAATAATTACTTAGCTATTTGTAATATAACAAAAATTTACACATCTTTTTGTATGAACATAACATATTAATATAAATTTTTAAGTTTTCTTTATAGCAAAATTAATCTTTTTTTTTTAATTATAAAATTATAATTTTCAATTTTCGTGAAAGTTTTTTTAAACTTTTAATATTTTTCTTTTAACATTAAATTATTTCTTTTCCATAATTTATCTTATTTAAAAAATAAATATAACCTTATTCATCCTATCTTTAAGCTTTTTACATATTTCCGAAAATTGTTACATAAAATTGTTTTAGTTATATTATCATTATATATTATATTTTATTTGTTAAAAAAATAATGTCGAAAAGAAAAAAAATGATTCTGTACACGAAAATATGTTATAAATAACCTATAAAATTTATATATTTAATAATATATTAATAATTGGAAAAAATGAATAATTGCAAAAGATAATCATTGCTTTATTGGAAATAATAAAACAAAATTTTAAGAATACTCATTTAAAATTAAAAAAAAAAAAAATATGAAAACTACAAGACGCTTTTGCTATGTTACAGATCAATACAATTTAATCGATATTGAATATATATATATATATATATATATTAAAAAGTATTTTATGTTACTTATTATATGAAAAAAGATATGTAAAAATTTATGGTCTTTATAAGAAATCTTTACAATTATGAAATTTTCTAATATATTATTAAAGATATATTTTATGTAATCATGTAATATTTTAAAAAAACTTTAAAAAATATATTACAATTCATATAATTTTATAAAATATAATTAAATTCTATTTCTAAAACTAATAAATTGATTTGTAATAATCATGTATTATTCAACCATTTCTACGTATATAAGTACATTAGGTATTTCTTTTGTGTGAGTAGTTATTGCACCATCGAGAACTTTCTGAAACTAGATCGAATAAACTTTAAAAAAAAAAAGTTAAAAACAAATAAAAGCAAAATTCTATGCAATTTCGATCTGTTTAATAATAATAAAATATAATTTTTGTATTTTTAGTATTTATATATAAAGATTTATATACTGATATATACTAACATAGTATTTCATAATTTTTAAATTTTTTCCGTTTACAATCATATTTAAATATATATAAATGGATAAAAATTAAAAATATTATAAAATTAATTACATATAAATATTAGTTTAAAATTAAATGTAACTGTATAAAATTTATACCTTTTATTTTGTAACAAAATTGTATTTTATGTAGAATCACTATTCGTCCAACAGTCTCGCTTGCAAAGATGTACGAGAATGGTAACCGGTTCGATGGAATTCACCTTCTACGTAATATTTGCAACTGAAAAACATCATATGCGCCATCTATAGTCAGTGCTGCCCTCTATGGAAAAATACTTTTTCTATCAGTATAATTTATTCTTTTAGAGAAAAATTAGTTTTATTTTTTTGATAGGTATTACTACGATTGTTTATACAAAAAGAAGAAGAATACATAAACATTATTTTTCTTGATTTTAATTAATATGTATATCTTATTATTTATAAATGAAAATTATAAAATCATCAATTAATTGATTAATATATTAATAAAACATTTGAGTAAAGACAAATTGTATTTTAAAAAATAATATTTATTATAAATAATAAAATACAATAAAAAAAATCTCGAATATAAGTTATAACAATAATTTTCATGTGAAATAAAATGTGTTTAAATAATATTATAATTGAAAATTTAAATAAATAATATTATTAATAAAAAAAGTTTGAAAGTTATATAAAATAATAAAATTTTACATAAAAAAAAAAATTTCATAAATGTAATCAGGAAATTATATATCGATAGAATAATGTATAAATAGAATAATTATGTATAGATAAAATAATAGATAGAATATAAAAAGTTACATGTAATAATTAAAATAATGATCTGTATTAATTTTTTTAGTTACTATTATATTTTTATTTAATTTTGTAATATATTACAATAATCTTGTAATCATTTAAATGAATTTTTCCTATGAATAAATTTCGTATCTTTTTTTATTTATATTCGAACAAAGATTTAAATTTATATATTCATTTTGTATTTTTTTTTAAACTAAATTAGATCATAAACTAAATTTTATATGAAAATTTTTGTTATTTTTTTAAAATTAAATAAATAAAATTAATTAAATAAAATACAATAATATAATCAGTATTTTTGTGATTGATAATATTTATTATTACAAACAGGTAGTTTTTTTCTAAACATAGATTGTTTGTTAAATAAACGAATAAATTAAATAAAATTTCATATTTCATTGTATATATTAAATATATATTAAATGAGATGTATTTGAATGTATATATTTTGATAAAATTGTAAAAACATAATTTATTTAAAAAAAGTAAAGATCAAAATTTTTTTTTAAACTTTTATTCATAAAAAATTTCAGCAGATTATATATTTTATGGTATATTAATAATAATGAAAAATATTTTAAATGTACAAAGTTATTGTATTCTACATAAATGAAATATGTTTTGAACATTATAACATATTATACACAGTATTTTTGTATGAGTAATTTGTCTTTAATAACAACAATTTATATAAATAATACATCTGATTTAAACTACAACGCCAAAAGAATATTACAATGATATTTGTATTTTACTTTTGGATTATAATACTAAACAGACATTTCAATAGATAAATACTTTAAAAGTACTTCCTATTGTTTTCTTATTTATATGAATTATATATATTTTTGGCACTTACTATGTAAGGATTGTAAATTGCATTAAATTTAGCATATAGAAAATTAAAAGAATTTGACACAATTGACATAAATGTCCAAAATTTAATAATTCATCAAGATCAGCCTTACGATAATTTTTTGCATATTCTATAATTTTATAATATTCTAAGAAAATTAAATATCTTTTGCATTATTAGGATGAGCGTGCTAGTTCAATATGTGGTAGTAAGAGGAGATCTTCTGAAGACAATGCATTGGCCCATTGGCGCAGTTATAGCTCAAGCATGCCATGCGTGCACTGCTGTTACTCATCTTTTTTACAATGATAATTACACACAAGCCTATCTTGCCAATTTAGATGTTATGCACAAAGTTATCTTGGAAGTAAGTATATCCAGGAACTATATGTATTATAGATATTAGACGTCAATTTGAACATATTATTGTGCATAACTCTTGTGTATACAATTTTTAAAATAGCGAAGGAGTATGGTGACATTTATAATATATTCATATATGGATATATTTATATTTATATTAATGTTAGATTCCAGATGAGACCAGTTTAAATAATTTATCTTTAACATTGACAAATGAGAACATCCATCATAAACTCTGGATTGAACAGCCTGAAAATATTCCAACATGTTTAGCAACAAAACCTTACCCAAAGGATAAAGTACAATCATATTTTAAGAAATATAAGTTACTTAAATTGTAAAAAGATATAATTTTGATTATATAACTATGCTATTTTTTTCTACATTGTACATTATAATCAATCATAATAAAACTAAATATTATAAAATAATAATTATATAGTACCATATATAATTATATAGTACTATATATAAATATATAGTACCATATATTTCAAAAAATAATCAATATAAAGTTTTAATTATTAAATTTGAAAGATTTTTACTTCAAAAAAAAAAAAGAATTTCAAATTCAGTTTAAAAAAAGATAGCATTAACACGTATTCAATTATCAAGTAATAATAAATTAATCTTATAAATTTATAAATTTTTCCTTTATTTTTTATTTTTTTATATATATATATATATATATATATATATGTATAAATAGGAATCAATTCCATCTCGGGATTTGCTATACGCCAATATGAAAACGATAGATATATACTTATTCTTTATTTAACAATACCTGATAGTATTGACAATGTGTACACATTACTCCTTTGCTTTACAGTTGGTATTATTACTAATCTAGATAAAAATTATGTCAAGATATGCATTATTAACTGATATTTGTATAAAAATTTTCCCTCACGATTGTGCAAAAATATGCACTATTTTATTAGAGCATACCAAAGGCGATAAAATGACACAGGTACGCACATATTTATTGTGCGTGTATAAATGACACACATCGGGGGAATAAGTATTAATCGTTCCTCGTTATAATAATCATATCTCATTATTTTTTCGATGAAAATAAAATTCAAATTTCCTAGATGATTGAACACGATTGAAATTTTTGAATATAAATTTTGATACATCAGAAAAATCAGATTTTTTTTACAGATAGATATAATTTAAGAAAGAAAAAAAATCTTAAAAACATAATAATGTATAATAAAAGTAATGATTATAATAGAAATTATAATAATATAAATACATAATATTATAATTATGCTTAAATGCTTTTGGTTGCATTTTAGCAAACAAATAAATAGATAGAAGAATAATTAATTGACTCAGAAATTTACTTGAGAATATAATACGTTCAAGGTAACATTATTTTGAAAGATATAATTTTTTTTTTTTTTTTTAATATTTTAAAAGGTACAATTTTCTTTTTCGAATTAATTTTGGGTTAAAAAAAGTAGAATAAGACAATTTGAAAAGATCTCAAACTTTTTACATTTTCTGCTTTCTCGAAATATTCTCGTTCATATAACGAACGAAGAAACAAATTTATTTTTCATGTAGAATTCACGTAGTATTTATATATATATAAAAGAAAAAAAAAAAAAAAAGAACACGTTGATAATCATATTAATAGATCAATTAATTGTCTATTGTTTTAGAACTTTGCTATAACGTTGCTATGTTACGTTGTGCGAACGATATTTGATATAATTCGGTATTTTCTCTCTCTCTCTCTCTCTCTCTCTC